TCTGGGCTGCCTGTAAACTCTTCTACCCTGGGTGTTGCAATGAGATGAATTTGTACAATATATTAATGTACTCTACTAAGCCAACCTGGAATATGGGGTTCTGAGAGCATTTTCGAACGAAACCGGCATGTATAGTGCAGTGCTTGACTAGCACAATTATTCTTCCTTGTATAGGGTGAGGAGTTGGCAAAATCTTTGAGAGAATAATAAGCTCTGCTGAAAGTCACCATTTTCTGATTTAAGTTTTTTAAACTAATGTTTCAGTGTCTCCTTTTGCAGACCCTGGAGATTGTTTTTTCTGGCAGCATCATTCTAACATGTGCTACTTTTTAAAAAAAAAAAAAAAAAGTTGTCATACAGAACAACCCAACAGTATCTTTTGCATGAAAAGAAAGCAAAAAGCATCAAGCACAAGGACAAAAAATTAAGTAGGCAAATATTTCTAATATAGCTGATCTCTTAAAACTGGGAGAACTAACTGTTTGCAGAAGAGCAACACAGATCTGTTTTCTGATGGTGTCAAAGGAAAGGAGAGGTCCACTTTGCGGTGTACTACTGTGTGCGTTTTATATATATATTTTTTTCATTTGGAGCTCAGAAGTCCCTGAGGGAAGGACAATGTCAGTAGCTGTCTTCCTCCCTTTGCTGTGCCCACTTGCTGTTTCTAATAATAATTTTCTCCTGTCTGTAATGCATTACAACAGTCTTTAGTGCAGGGAAGACCTCCTCCTTTGCGAAGCAGCTCGTGATAGTAGTTCTTTCTTTGTACAGCACCAAATACCATCCTCCCCAGTGAATGATAAGCCAAAACCAGTGCATGAGATAATTAATTGTATTTTCCTTTTCTGACAGAGTGAAAAAGCCAGCTTCATCTATCATTTAACTGATCTTGTTTTCCTCTTTCTTTCTGTCTCCCCTTCCCATCTTTCCTTTGTATTCAGGCATGTGTTGTGGCCGAGTGAAACCAGGGTTTAAATTGCAGCAGTGTCCATCTCATGTCTGTAATAAAAATGCTTCTATGAATTTGGAATCTATGGAAGAGTTACCTTCTGGCATTTTTTCTAAAAATATCTCGCAGATGGAACTTGTCATGCTTATTACAACTCTGCTTTGCCTTAATTATTCTGTCCTTTCATTTCTTTCTTGGTTTAAACCCTTATTTGTTTTCCTGATTATTTTTTTCCTAGAAGAAGGGAGACTCTGCTTGCCTGTTATGTGCTTCAGTCTGAATATTTTTGTAATGTAACTTCCGTATGGTGTTTTTTTGTTTATTTATAATGAAGATAAATTTGACTTGCAGTGAGTAAGAAGCCAGTCCATTCTGAGCAGGACTCATGCTTACTTTTAAAGCATAATCTTAAGGATTTTCAATTGGACTTTCCATTACACCATGTACATCTGTAATTGCACTACACAGTTTAGAAGTGCTCCTGTTTTCTAAACACAGTATGTGGCAGAGCCAAAACATGCCTATAATTATCATGAAGAGAGTGAAACTTGATCTCATCCATTGTCACTGTCCAAAGTTGATTATTTGAAGCATTCGCTTTCTCTCACCCCAGAGGAGGTGATATCTGGATATATCTGTTATATCTGTTCCACCCTACAGGCAATTGTGCTTGCATCTTCAGGTCATTAAGAATAGAGGTTGTTTCATAATTGTAGGAATAACTACAGTTTCATTTCAATTCTACTCTAACAGTGATTTAGCTTTTTCATTGTAAAACCACCTAGGAATTAAGGAGGCATGTTGAGGCTTCTGTGTTTAATTTACTATGTGCTAATAAAATAACTTGTCATAAGCACCCAGAGTCTTCTCCATTAATTCTAACATCTCAGATCAAGTGCCTTCTGGTCATCTCCCTCCCTCTAAAAGTAGCAGTAGAAAATGAGTTTGCTTTTGTACCTGTCTTGTCTTTAGGTGATTAAAGTTGGGTGAGAGGAATACCATCAAAATGTTTGACAAACACTAATGAACTTAGCCTAAGCACGTCTGAAAAGCTGACAGATGCATTTTTACAGATCATGACACAGGTCACAGTTTTTCAGGTTTCTGGCAGAGAGTTCTGTCAAAAGCCTTTTGTAGAATAAGCATAAAACCTGTAATTCAAGGCATGCTGATGAAACTGTGCATTGAGTGTTTTATTCAGGGCCTAACATGCAAATCTTTCCTTTCTATAATATGAAATACATATGGCAAAACAGATTAGAAGGAGGTAGAAGATGTATTTGGAATGTGGGATAGTAGGGACGTTTTCATGGCAGCAAGTTTAGTAATGAGTTTTTTTTGTTTAAGACCTTTATTTTAGTTTTTTCTATAAACATCCCATTGCTGAGTATTGCATGTGATTTTAATTTCCATCTGCACTCAAGTCTCTCTGCCTTTCTTATTTTTTGTTTCTAACTAATGTATTTTAGTCATGTTCAGTAGTAGTACTTTACAATTTCAGATGCTAATACTAACTCTTTTTGCTTTAGCCTGCCTCATTTCTTGCCCTCTTCTCGCTGCTGGTTGTTCCAGGATGATAACCACTTCTGGAACCATGACAGCATCCCATGTTTGTGATGATTGTCTTCTGCTTGAATAATATAAAATGTAGGGGTAGTAATATGCAACGGAACTGTTACATATTTCAGGGCAATCTCATTTTTGTCTTTGCTCATTTTATATAACGTACAGTTGACTGAAGCCTTCTATTGTTGCAGTCCATTGGTACCTGGTAGGCATGCTTTCTGGGCTTAAAAAGCAAAGTGTTGCTAGCTAAAAAGGAACACAAACGTTTTGTAAGATACTGCTTTTAGGGGATGCAAGGTTTTGTTGTCTTTCCCTGAACTGCTTAACTTTCTCTGTATTCTAGTGAATGTTTAGTTCTCCAGTTGCTTCTGATTTATTTCATGTGTTTCTAGTGCTTCACATTCTTTCTTTGCCTCTGTTTTTCACACGGGGGACAGTTTTGCTTTAGAATGGAATTTGATCAGGCATTTGTTGATATTTTGATCTTTAAAGCAATACAAGCTAAAATGTCGATGTAGGCATACATTTTTTAAGATTTGAGCGTACTCAGTTGTAGAGTAAAGATGCAATTTTGCAGGTACTGTGGTTTCACGGGCAGATCTTCTGCATGGAACAGTCATTGTTTTACCAATAGGTGATCCTTTTCTGGAGGTACCTTTGAGTGGCTGAGACTCAACTTTATTCCCCCTCTTTCAAAAAGTAGAACTTGTCTATTCTAGTAAATCTGATGCTTAGAAAAGGTTCGTCAACGATACATTAAGGAAAGTGATAGTAGTTTTGATTTGTTTACATCAGCAGTTGAATAACATATCTTTCCAACATCAAATCAGAGAGACTTTCTTTTTACAGTTGTTTCCATTCTTGATGCTTCTTTTTTCCTGAATTGTAAATGTTTTTAATGCCTAAAATCCTGGAGGGGCTCATATTTAAACTTTTTGGTATGGTATTGGGATGCAAGACAGAAATGTTGGTAGAATACTGCAGAACATAAAAGGTTTCCTTCAAAGCATCATAATTCATCTAGTATGCAGTGTATACGTGTCCTAGGTGAGAGCAATAGCCCTACAGGAAAGCTAAATTTCTGCAGCAGTCTGCAGCATTTTTGCACGTTTATAGTAACTTATGTTTGGGAAATGCACTTTTTACGTGCTCTGAACAAGTATAAGAGAGTGGTAGTTCAGGAGAATGTAAAGCATTAGGCAGCCATAAAGTGTCAGTAAGATTGGGCCTGGGAACTTCTCATGCATAGCTTTTGCAGACTGAGAAGATGGTTCTGCTTGCATTCCTGAAGAACTTGCAGTCCTGGGGCTACCCTGCTGCTGCGAAACCTGGTCTTTGATGACCACAGTGACACTTTTGGATGTCAGCTGAATGCACATAATGCTTGGGTTTTGTGAAACAGCACAAAATATATTTTCTGCAACATGGTTTGTTAATGTATTGGCTGAATGACTCTTAAGGTAAAGACAGATCTTTTTCTGAAATGTTAAGTGGTATTGGGGGTAAGGAGGGAATTTCATGCCACACCGTGTAAGTCTTTGCCTCTTACTCCCCACCCCAGATTTATAATACCGTCTTTCAGTTTAAACAGGATGCTGGTTGTCCTTATAGTATCTGCATGGCTTGGTTGCAACATATATTTTTTTCATTCTTGAAGCTGTGAGCAGAGAGAGAAAAACTGAATGTCGTAGTGGAGTGATGTCAGGGTGTACTGATTTTTCAGGTCTCTCTGCAATGTAAAAATGTGCTTAAATGTGATTTGTTTCCTAGGTTCCTTTACCAGCAAACTCTGACAAGAAGGCAGGTTGCTTCCTCTGCTTTCAGTAGTCTCTTTCCACGAGCAGAAGAGACAAGATTTTGCCCTCTGCCTCAGTAGTAGGCCCAAGCCCTCGTGCCGTCAGCCAAATCAGGAAGCTGAACCTGTAGAATGCTTTCCAAACTGTTTTGTTTTTAGCTAGTTGATCTCTCTTTTTCTCTGTTCTTCTCTGGACTTTCCACAAATGAGTATTGTGCTAAAGATGCAGGAACTGGCTGGTCTTTAAGTAGGTTCTCAAAATACATCTTAACTGTATACAGCCTGAAAGGTCTTTTTTAATTTGTATGTTCTCATTTTTTGTTCTCCTCCAGGTTTTATGGTGTGGAGATTGCTTTCTCTAAAAGTATTTTTCCTGCCTTCTGATGCCTTTCAGAAAGGCAGGCAATGAATTTTCTAGCTTATCTGTTGATTGAATAAACAGCTCTCTTCACAGTGGATCTAGCAGACTCCTTTAATATGAGAACAACAGTAGGTTTAGTTGTCTGCTCCAGGACTAACGCAGATTGAGTCAGTTAGCACTGGTTAGGATAGTTGGTTAGTATAACTTAAAGGCAGCATAAAATAAAATTGATTTTTACCATTAAATTCAAGGAATGATATACTAACTGTATTAAATATACTTTGCATTTTAAGAAAACCCCTCAATTTAAAAAATAAATGTATGTGAAGTTGTTCTAGAGTGTCCGGTCTGCCCCAGTGGAACACTGCAGAACCCGAGGGCCTTGCCACGGGATTTAGGTCGAGCTTGCTGTGGAGTGCGCAGGACCTGGGGTATTGTCCCTCTTCCTGAAATTCTTGAATCACCTCCTGGCTGTTTCCGACATCTGTTTCTTAGCTCTCACTGTTTGCTTCAATTTCACGTGTTGGTGCTTGAAGTACTTACTGTGTTGTGTTTCATGCTATGTGAATGCAAATGTTTAGAGATTTCAGACACAGGCTGGTGCTTCAAAGTATTCATGTCCTGCTTTGCTAGGCTCATGCCAACAGGCTTTGACATCTGGTTGGTATGTTTTGAGCTCTTGTATGTTGTCTGGTGCCCATATTGTAGTTACCTGACTATGATTAGGGTAGATGCTTTCTGGCTTGTTCTGGAGCTCTTCACCAAGTGGCTTGTGCAGCATACCTCATGTTCCTGCACTAATGCTCTAGTGCACTGTCTCGTGGGCATGTGAAAGACAAGTGCATATGTGCTGCACCTTGTCTAAACCTGGCAATCATACAGCTGCTTGGTTGGTGGGATGTGTTCGCTAACTTATCCCCAATAGTTGGGGGGGGGAACTGCCAATTTCTTCTACATTTGGTAGGCATTAAATACTGGTTAAGGAAAGTATTTCTGAAGTTTGTTTTGTAATTGTGGTGGTTTACCATGACAATTGATGGAAGATACCTCTGGGTACTTTCCAACGATTGTAAGAAGCTTGCCTTGATGTTCCCTGGCTTGAATTGGGACCTGTAGGTAATTATTTATTCAAATAGCAGCTATAACAAGCTTCTGCACAAATGGAAACTTGTTGCTTAATAAAAATGCTTACCAGATCTAGTAGAGAAGTTGCTGTAAGTCATTGTTCTCTCTGCATTTGCCCAGTTAATGGCATGTTTATCTTGCACTAAAATTCTTAGAGAGCACAGAAGAGCCCAAGACGTGGCAGCTGTTTTCAGAGGAGCACGTTTTGTTGCTGCTTCTGAGAAATTTGTAGTTCACTTTTGAATGATCGAAAGGATAATGCTATGCATATGTACATTTCAAATAAGCTTTTAAAAGCTGCTCTGCCTTTTTTGGCCTTTCATATTTCCTTATTCAATGCTAGACTTAGCTGCATTATGTCTTACAGTTTTTTTGTTCAGGTGATTGCTGCACGATATGGCATTTTGCTCATATGAGCAGTAAAAATAGATCTGCAGGTATCACTATGGGGAGTGAAAACCATGCAACTAAACAATCATGGAAAAGTAGAGAAAGCATGATATAATTTTTTTACCATTCTGTCTAAAATTGCTATGTTATAACAGTAGCAACCAGTGAGCTACAGTTTTCAACAGTTGCAGAAGAAAATGAAATGTAAACAGAACTGGGGCTTGTCTCTCTCTCTCTAAATACTGTTGCAGGATAAACACTCACTCTGCAGAAAGGCAAATTTAGAGAGGATTTCTTTGTCCAAGTATGAAATCCAAGTGTTTATGTTTAAATCCTTTTATTGATGGTTTTGTGTTTGTGAATACAGTCCTCAGTTACTTTATTTTATTATTACTGTGCCATTTCTATTTTTAATTTTGCTCCGTTAGCTAGTGCATTTTGCAATAATTATTCCCATGCTTTGATTCTCAGCTGTTATTTTTAATGAGCCTTGAGAAGGGTAACCTGTGGGAGCGTTGCATGCTCTTTGTTACCATCCCTGTGGAACTGTACATGCATCTAAACTGGATGAGTTCATAGTGGCCCTCAATTACTGAGTAATATGGCTCTTTTCTTCTTCTTAGGACTGAATTTGCCCTAAAAGAAATCATGTCATCAGGAGGAGCTGAAGATGATATTCCTCAAGCAGAGAGGAAAACAGTTACAGACTTTTGTTACTTATTGGATAAATCTAAACAGCTCTTCAATGGCTTAAGGTTAGTGATTTTTTGACAGTGTTTCTCAAGAAAAGCATTGGAACATATATTTCAATATGTGAGTGGTGCTGAAGGCAGATGTGTGATGAACAGGTTAAGCACAAAAACAGTACGTTTGTTTAGCAGAGAACAAAGTGCACTCATAAATGAGTAGTTTTGGATCATGTATGCAATAATGTCTGCAGGAGTAGAAGTTTCTGTTTTGGGCACTTCTGAGAGCGTAGGGAAGGAGATGTGAGAAATGTGAATTGTATATCTCAGTCATGTCAGTTAACAGTACACTAGATGTTGGAAATTCCTTGAAATTGATAGAATTTGTACTGAAGAGCTAGGTATGGAGAATTATGCAATTGAGGGCCAGATGTTCCTGTATACAGTAGACTGCATGTAAATTCAAAAGATAGCATCCCAGAAACCCCACAGTCTGTGTACAAAAACAAATAAAAAAGCCCTAATAGATGAGACGAGGAGGATAGCCCTAGCTGGGCGGGAAAGGAGGGGGGGAAAAAAAAGGAAAGTTTTTTTTTTTTTCTTTTTAGAAGAAAGATGGGAAGTGATAAACAGAAACTTCCAAACCACACCTGTATGTGTCTGGTGAAACAAATTATGTTTAACTTGAACCGTTGAGAATGGTCAAATCTGGATTTATCTACAAAACATCTGCAACAAAATCTTGAAAGTCCAGCTGTTCTGTCAGCACCAATAAGAAGGAGAATAAGAATAATGGAGAATTCAAGGAAAATAGTTCATATTTGGACAGTGACATGTGGGCATCCTGCTTATTTTAATATACTCTGAGTTAAAGATTATTCAGGAGCTGTTTTATTTCTAAGCCTTCCTGTAGAATCTCATGAGCAACACAGTTGTAGCTCATATCTAGTTGGCAGTTCAGCCTCTTACTGGTCTCTGAGTAATACTGTATGTTTGGGCCTGTATAGCTTGCTGTTACTCAAACACAGATGGTTAGCAAAGATGTTTTTTCTTTTTCTTTTTTTTCCCCCCCATAAACGATTGATAATCTCTTTCATGTGCTTTAGGAGTTGATTACCAAGACCAAAACAAACAGTTTGTGCTCCAAAATCTGAATGGTAATGGGCAGTAAAGGCAAGGAGCTCTTGGTGATTGTATTCAGCACCTCCAGAAACAGACTCCAGAGCAAGACGACTGTGATCTTGAGGCCAAGATTTCTAGTATCATGCATGCTGTCATACTGGCTTACTGTTGCAGTTTGTTTGAAATTTTGACCTGAGGCACTGAAGAGAGCAAAATAATACTATTCATGTCTGGGTGCATGATGCTGAAGCTTGGACCACAGAGATGGCGGAGCACCTACAGCCATTTGGTCTTTTTTCTTTGGTAGAGAGAGAGTTAGTACCTGTATCAGAAGCTAGATCTCTCATCTGGAAACCTGTGTGTATCATAGCATTTTGCAAAAAAGAAATCTTCTCAGCCAGCTAGATGAAAGGAGGATGGAAAATATCTTTGGGTGGAATTTGGGCGATAAGAATAGAGAGAGAGGCTTCAGGAGCCAATGAATTCAAGAACATACCAGAATGGGAACCTGCATCTGTCCTTACTGTAACTTGACATGATTAACATAGTTGCTTGTCACACTGAATTTGACCACCATTTCACCCACAGGATTTCTCAGAGCCTGTGATTCCTATGGAATCCATCATTATTCCATGGAATAATGACCGGGTAAAGCAGCATTATAATTTTCAGGTATCTGCTCTGTTAGTGCTTTGTTCTCTTCTGGGCAGTTCACCTGGAGAGGACTTGGCAAGTACCTTGATTCTTAGTCCAAGTGCTTGCTTTTCCTTTTAGCGTAATAAATGCATTGATGCATGCCTGCCACGTTCTGTTTTGAAGGTGATGGTGGCCTTTGCTGCTGTGTTTTATGCCATTCTGTTGCCCCTACAATGCTTCATGAAAAGAAGTAGTGGGGGAGGGAGAAGAGAGCAATGATTGCCTTCCTGAAACCTCCTCTGGGCACTTGAGCTGCAGGGAACTGAGCCTATAGCTGTGTTGGCAGCTGCTTAGTTATTGCTGCTGCCAAAAATGCAAGGGCTCAGCCTGCCACGTCTTTGTTTCAGTAGCATTTCCTTCCTCTTTTCCCAATGCAGATGCCAAATACAGCATTTGAGGAAAATATATGATGATCTGCCAAGGTTGCTGCTCCAAAGTATATTTCATGCTTGCACCACCAGTGATAGCGTCCTTCTGTGGCCATACCTGCTAAAATAACTTGTAGACAGAAGGTCATCTTTATAGTATCTCTACTCCCTTATTGAACAGCCCAAACTATATGTTATAAGCAACTGTTAGTGAAGTATGTTCCAGTATCTTTTATCCTTCCTTTTCGCATTCCTACTAGCTTTTTTCTTGGGGAAGAATGCTTGGAGGAGAAGAGGGAGCGTGTTAGGAGCTTCTCATGGTGTTCTAGTACCAATTATTATTTTCTTTTTAACATTAAAAAGTTTTAAATGTGTTCAGTATCATAGAGATGCTTGAAACTTTAAGAAATGGAAGGACTTTCCACATATATCTTTCTTTCCAAGGATGTAAAGTCTTGTTGCTCATTGTGCAGGATGCAAGAATTATGACAGCACCTTTCACGGAAGGAAATGGTGGCATTTTACTGTTCATCCGTTTCTCAGACTTCTAGTAAGATGCATGATGTAAACTGAACCTCTTAGTTTTACATGATGCTGGTTGTTGTCTGTTGATCTTGATGGCACTCATTTAAAAATAGGACGTCATAGTACTTTCCTGAAAGCCATTAGACTTGACTGTGAATATGACAGAAAACACCAATGGATGAGTGGCTCCAGGAAAATGAGTGTGGATGGATGAATGGGTATGAGTTACAGAACTGTCCATGGCAACTGTCATACACAAAAGTTTTATAATCTAGGTGCAGCATATTGCAGGGCAAACCATCCTCTAACAGCATCTTTAGCTTTGTTATCTGGATATTTGTGCCTTCTGTCGTTTGCATCCCCTGCTGCAATGCAACCACCATTTGACTTTGTGCATCCCCTTGATATCAAGTCCCTGTCAGCATAAGTTTCCTCTGCTACCTTTTGTCTCTGAAAAGTCCTGGCATTGGAGATTTGCAGGCTTTATTCCAGTTCTCGCATTACTATCCCATGTACCTCAGTTACCCTTCCAGAAGATCAGCTGTCAGAACATAGAAGCTGGACTGCTGAAAGGAAAGTTTCTTGCTTTCATTGATGATGATTTAGAAAAAAAAAAAAAACAGGATCTTGTTAGATTTAGGTAATGCAGCAGGCTATAGCCCTGGATGTCCTGGGAGGGACTGACTTTTCACACTGCATCAGTGAGGCAAGTTACTGTGAGTGCTACTGGTGTGCTTTGTAATAAAGTGCAGATAACTAGTCATCTGTATAGAACTGTCCTGAGTCAAAGCAACTCCATTCCATCCTCTCCATCTGAAATGCTTCCTGGTGCTGCTTCTTCCCTCCTATAAAGCTGATCAGTAACAGCGTGAGTGAGTACCTCTGCCCCCTGCCTGTTCTGTACCCAGCATCCTGAGTCAAGTACACACAGGGGAGAGAAAGAAAGAAAGAAAGGGCTGTCATCTTTTTGTCTCCATATAGCACTATTACCCTTCTGTAGCTCTTGAAATAGGGAAACATTTTGCTATAATGTAGCTGTTTTGCTTTCAAGTTGGGTATGTAATATCTTCTGGATCATATATTTCATATCTGCTTGAGTGGGAAGGGCTGCGTTAATAACGCAACATGGGAACACAAAACAGCAAAATGGGTAGGAAAATAGATGGTGGCAAAGGCAGCTCTTGTCTGCAAAAATCTGTGACGGAAACATGGTAATGTATTATCATAAATGAAGTTTTATTATAGCCATGTCAGAATACTATCAAAAGAACAAGTGCTAGTGTCTGTTTCCATGGAGATCCTTCCTGTTCCCTGGGGAGCCGAGGAATCGCATGGTATTGTGCAGCTATGCCAGCTGCAATTAGGCTAGCATGCTGCTTGAGAAAAACACGTGTGGACACCCAGCAGTGACTGGGGACAACAATGGCCAAACACGTGTATGCTGTGCTGACAGGGACATTGTAAAATGCCACTAATTGTTTCACATAATTAGAACAAATGCAGGGCACTGAGTTGAACTAGGTTTTATAGGAATGTTTAGGCATATACAGAGAAGCAGGGACAGAATCGAGGAGTTATCAGAATGGTGTGCAAGGGAATATGACTGGTGACGTACAAAGAATATATTGGCTTACTGAGGATGGATATGTGCATGATCATCATCAGAAAATAGGTACCTGTTTATTTCCTGATTTGTTTGTGCAAATACCTACTTTTTTGTCAGTGTTCAAAGGAGGAAGGTTATGTTTTGTCATCTCTTTGTGCCAGCCCTTTGCTCAAATGTCCTAGGCAACTTGAGTGTTGTTTTGTATTTGCATTCTGTTATTATTTTCGAAAAAAAGATTGATTTTTAGCATGAAAGCTTATGCACTAGCTAATTAAATTTGGCATTACTTCTCGCTATATCAAAGCATACAGTCTATTTTAAACATTTATTTGAACCATTTCTTGACTTTATTTGTTTAGCTAAAGTGCTTACATCTATTACCACAATAGAAAGTGGTGAATGATTCATTGCAGTAAATGCTTTAAATGTGCATGTGTTTCTATCAAGCTATATTTAGAATGAAGATATATATTGTGTTGGTGCTCTGAAGCACTTGTTTATACTCTTGCTTATCCCTCACTGCATCCAAGTGTGTTCCAAGAATCTGAGCAGCCAATTGAAAGTTTGTGAGGGCCTTATTTTTTGGTAAAATCCTACCCAGACTCCTTGGCATCTTCATAGAATAGCAGCAGCAGGTACTGGAATGACTTTCCAGTCTGGTAGGGGACATGGCTGATAACGGATTCATTTTGCATATAGTAACTCAGCTAGGTCCCCTCAAGCTGTGTGGGAAGTACAGTTGGCTGATGAGCAAAGGAATATTAATTTCCTTTCTACCTAGGGTGCTGTTAAAGCAATTACAGTTAGCAGAAATGAGCCAGTACATTGCCCTGGAAATCCTAGTGTACTGCTTTGCTTGTCTTATTCCTCCAGAGAACATGGCATGGTTACCGAAAGGTGGTGTTTCCCTGCAGTCTGGCCCTCCCAGGCTTGGAAGTGGAATATGCTGCTTTTCTATGCCAATCTGCTGAAGACTGAGGCATTAAATGGGTCTGGTATGTTAACCAGCACAGTGATTTGATAGAGCATTCCCTGAAGAAATCATTCTTGAATCAAATGAAAAATTATGGCAAAAAATATCAAAAAATTATCTTGAAAAAGCTACTCCACTTCCATGTAGGGGTGTATACCTGCTTTGAATCACCTGCATAGATTTGAAAGCAACATGTATTCAGCGAGACTGAGGGATTGTGGTTTCTTCTGTTACATTTGTTCCAAGATTCTTGTAACTCATCGATGAAGGCTTTTTGTTATGATTGAAAGCAAATATCTTTAAAGCTAAAATCTTTAGCGCTACATCACAAGTGGGGGTGGGGGTGGAAAGGAATATATCACAACATGGAAATCGAGTGAGGGTATAGAAATAGAATCCAAGTAGCTTGACTAACAAGTCTTAAAGCACTGGCAACCCATGTGAAAAAGGCAGAAGAATGCAGCTTCTGACTAAGATATCACGGAACAAGAGTTAGAGAGTGACAAATGTTCCTATGATGACATAACCTGACCTAGTGAATGTTGGCTGTGGGCATCTATATGCTTGCTTGACCTGGTGACTTCTGGACAGCTGGTTTATGTATGATGTTATAGGGTCCAGTTCTCAAATGCATTGAGCAGCCTCATTCATTTTTAAAAGATGGTTTCCTTAAGGAGTAGCAAGAAATATCATCAATCTAAATGAGTCTAAATTAACTAATTTCCATTAGATTATTCTGTTTGTTCTTGGGTTGGGGTGTTTGTTGTTTTTGGCCATGGTAGTTTTTTGACTATGATCTTTTAAGGATCTAGTTTATATGCATATAATCATCAAATTATTTCTTTCTTAGCAAGACAGTAAGATGTTCTCAATCGCCTGTTGCAAAATGCATGTAGGAATATGGTTGTTTCCTATTTGGGGTGATTATCTGTAGGCATGCTTTTGATATTGAGTGTTAGAGAAGAACATTGTAACTAATTTAGCTTCAGGACTGTTGGAGAAGGAAACTGTAGCCGATTTAGCTTCAGCTTAGCATAAGTCTGACTCTTGCTTAGCCTAAGTGTCTAAAGTAGATGAAGCCTGCAGGCCTCAAGGCTGAACTGTCAATGGACTCCAGAAACATTGCTAACGATGCGACGTTGCCAATAATGTAACTGCAAAACCAATTAAAACTAGCTAACAAAGATAAAAAGCTAGCTAATGAGGATATAAAGTAGAACGCAGGAGACAAGATGGGATACACCTGGGCTGATCTTCAAGAAGATAAGAGACTGTGAGAAATACTGACAGGGCAACCAGCCTGGGATGTAGACTTGGACCTGTCCGGGGGGAGACAGACACCAATCAGAAGAAGAGAGACCATCGACTCAGTAAAAAAAATTGGAGGAGACCTTCACTGGCAGACAGGAAAATAAAACTGTGAAGGGTGTAATTACCTCAGAATTTCTTTGTTCGGGGCCTCTTTACAGAGGCACCCAGCTCGAGCTGTTACTATGCTGTACTGTCATTTAAATAAATAATTAATTTTGCTATTATATGTGCATGAGACTCTGCTCCTTGGAAACCTAGGGTCGAACTGTTTCCATAACATTGAGAACCTGTTGATTTTGAGTGACTTTGATAAAGGCACATTTACAGAGGTTGAAGAAGATTCCTTTTTGCCCTTTAAACTGTATTTATCCACAAGTACCAAAGTTTTTGCACATGTCTTATCACTTGACTCATGTAAAGTCATTCATAGAGTGTACTTCTTCCACCTGTTGCTATATCTGTATGTTGTAGCAGCCATTCCAGAACTCTAGGCGCATCTGGAGTGAACAGGCTTATGTGTATAATATATCTCATGTTCATAATAAATACAATATAAATACATCATAAACATACCATGTGCTTCATAACTAACTTAAAAGTGAATGTCTGCCTGCATAATTGGTAGAAGTTATTGGACACCGCTCACCACTCATCCTCTTGAATCTTTTGCGGAGGAAGTAGTCAACCTCTGCTAAGGGGTCTGCTGACTCACAGGCAAGTAGATCGTTTGCCAGTCTGATTTGTAGCTTGACAGGCTCTCTTGGGAAGGAGATTTATGGTTGTGACGGTTGACTGGGCCTCAGACACTAGTGTAACTACAGTAATTTTGCTATTCTCTAAGTGATTGAATTACAGTTCTTATATTTGAAAGCTGAAGTTCTATGTTAGCAGAAAAAGTTTTCAGAATTTCAGAAACTTGGGAATGTGTATGGTTAAGTTGTACATCTTCAGTTTGACATTAGTATTGTCTTTTGTTTTGCATGGGATCTGCAGAGCTCAGGCAAACTGAGACATTGGCCTTCCCCATCCTCAAACAGTGATTACATTTAGGCAGCCATTCTAAAGTTTTATAAAATGCTTGGGACCTTTATTAACACTGAAAACTTCTAAATCTGTTTTTGATCAAAAAGTGACTAGAGAATTGAATTCTCCTGAAAGTAGGAAGCAATAAGTAGGAAACAGCGTTCTAAAGAAATTCCTCTCACAAATGTTCCTTTCATGTATATATTCATAAGCAGTCTTTTCTTGTATATGATGTTAAATGAATATGCTATCTCACTTCTGACGTGTTTTTAGAAAGTAGTATGGTCAGATCTTGATGAAAGTACTTCCTATAAGCTAAACAGGATTTCATTGCAGATTCCAGTTAGACCAGGTTTTGAAAAACTACAGCAATCTGGTTTCTTTTAATTCTGGATATAGGCTGAATTTTAAAACATTTCAAGTCAGTTCTGAACAAAGCTATCCTGCCATTGATGCAAATCTGCTGCTGTCATGCTGGGATGACTGAAATCTGCTCAGTAACTCTGCGTTTGTCACTTGTCTGTTGCAGGGATTTACCTCAGTATGGGCAAAAGCAGTGGCAATCCTATTTTGGGCGAACATTTGATGTTTACACCAAGCTCTGGAAGTTTCAACAGCAACATCGGTAAGAAACTGTTGTAGGCAGCTGTGTGCTATGGATTTAAGTGCAACTTTAATCTCTGGCATTATGGTATGCCTAGAGGCCTCAGTTAAGACTGAGATTTCACTGTGTTATTGAGGCATGGAGGGAGGGAATAGTCACATCCTGTAGTGCTCACAATCTAATGAATTAAAATGTTGCAGAGTTTTCACTCTTCTTTTTTTTTTTTTTTTTTCATGGAGGGAGGGAATAGTCACATCCTGTAGTGCTCACAATCTAATGAATTAAAATGTTGCAGAGTTTTCACTCTGCTTTTTTTTTTTTTTTTTTTAACAAAACCTTTTGCTCTACTCAAATACGTGTTGCTTTAATGTATTACCAAGGAGAGGCTGGGATGATGGCTTCTGCAGTGCAGAAACCCATCTGGAATGGTGTGAAGTGTCTTGCTGCAGTGTGGGCTCTGATATTTCACACCTTACGTTGGCTGGGTAGTCTGAGGGTTCTCATGGGAAGTTGTGACCTTTTGTTTTGTGTATTTTGTGCTACATACTTACATATAGCTCTGGCAAGTTTTTGCAACATAACTGGTGCGTGCATGCAGTGCTGTTGGCTCTGTGAGGGACTGCCACTGGGAATGCCGCACCAGTAATGAAAGTAGAATTTGGCCTTACAATGGCTCTTTGTCTTGTCTGGTGTGATGTTCTGAGAAATTCTGGAATGCCTTTTAATCTTTCTTTTCTCTCTTGCGAAATAGACAAGTATTGGACAATCGGTATGGGTTGAAGCGGTGGCAAATTGGGGAAATTGCTTCCAAGATTGGGCAGCTCTATTACCATTATTAGTAAGTAAGCACAGAAGAAGATTCAGTAGGGAAATACAGTGTTAGTGGCAGTTCTGTGCCAAATGTATAGGTACTCAGTCAGGAGGCTGCTGAGGTAGAAATGAATGCGTCAGTTGAGCCACGATGCCTGTTTCTGAGTGAGGAGGCGCTTGGGACTGCAAGGCGGTGCTGCAAAGGCATCTGTGAGCCTGATACCACGTTACTAGAGTCACATTGATACTGCCCATGGACTTGTCTCCTACCTCAAAAGTATCTCTAAGTCTTCCATGTGTGCTGCATTTAACTCTTGTGCAAAAGTGTGATTTACAAGTTTGGGAGATTAATGTTCCTTTAAACTTTTGAATTAACCTGTCACCTGTACATATGGGCACAAGATGGGCAGATCTGATTGTTATCTGAAGTAGAATCCAAGCTCTGAAATCTTATCTTCCCCGCATGCACAAAGAATGGGAGTCTGGCTTTCATACGATGTTACTTGAGGAGGGAGTTTTGCCATTGATGCACAAGATGGTTGAGGGGGCAGGAAGGGAGGCCTGGGCATGGATTTCCATCTGAAGCAGTGAGCTGATCTGCATCTTCCTCTACAGCTTGCGCACTTCTGAAACCAGCTACCTGAATGAAGCTTTCTCCTTCTATTCAGCAATTAGGCAGAGGTCATACTACTCCCAAGTCAACAAAGAAGACAGGTATGTCTGAACTGATGTACTCCTTTTTTCAGGACTAGAACTGTATATGAAAATAGCAAATAATTATAGACAAATAATTATAGGAAGTTTTTTCTAATCCTTCAACCATAATTAGAAACCTCAGTATAAACAAGAGCTTTGCTGGAAGACTGGAGGGATAGTCTATTGTCTAGCCCTGGCTAGAAAGCTGCTGACCCCACGGCTTTGTCACTTTGAGTCCTGAGCAGTAGTAGTGCTGGGAACTAGTATTCTGCAGCTGGAAGATAAGTCAGTTGGGATGAAGCAGAGGAACCTGTTTGTTTCCTCTAATGAGGCTTTTCAGAGGAAGGGCAGTCAGTACTGCAGTACAACAGCCCTCTGTAACTGACTGGGACAAAGTCCAGGAGCTTCAGGAGGCCAATGCAGGAGGAATAGCATTTTCGCATGAGATACCACACTGAGGAAGGAAATCCTTGAAACAGCACTATGCTGTGACAGTGCAGAACAGGTGCCGCCTGCCAAGAACATAGAACAAGAAGAACAGGCAGCGAACTCAGTTCTGGATCCTGATCCTGTGTTCTGCCCAGTAAACCTTGGTCCCCTCATCAAGTTAAAGTTAAAGAAGAAATCATAGATATCATCATCAACATAAATGCAGAAGGGAATTTTCTGCCCAGCGTTCAAGGATCTCTGCACTTCATTACTTGCACTTCTGTAGCCGTTCTGTTGTCTAAATACGTCTGTGCTCTACAAACAAATGAAAACTTCCCTGCTCTCTTCTGGTATCTGTTAATCCTATGAACTTGTCTCAAAAAATTCTCAATTTCAGGCCGAGTGCTTGAGCTTTTTCAGACAAGGTAGGATTGACTACACATGTTTCTAGATGCTGTTAGAAGATTTTAGAAATGGATGAGTAATTATAGGACATGCTGACTTGCAGTTGCTTAAGTTGTCTCAGGTGTTTGGACTCTAAGCCAGCTGTGACTATCATGTGATGCAGTGGAGTTGGATACTGCCCATGAACTGTCAAAAGGTTTGAAGAGCCAGCTGTTGTATCTGACTCCCATGCCTCTTCTCAACTAAGGAACCTGTGGGGGAGGTTGGGGCTCCTCTGATCTGTATTTTATGGCCCTGTATGCCAAATATGCCCTGCTGGGCTCAATTTTAAATACAGCTCTAACTAGCCAGGTAGCTATTATTTGGCGTCCACATGAATGTAGCTAGAACTTCTAATCTGCAGAGTCTTCAGCCTCTTTCTGGTCTTTAACTCCTGCCCTCCTCTGCCCCAGTTCCCCAATTGCCTGTCGATGTTCTGTTTTAACCTCAAATTTGGTTGTGTTGTTTTCGTTGCTATGTTTAGGCCTGAATTGGTGGTTAAGAAGCTGCGTTATTATGCAAGGTTTATAGTAGTTTGTCTCTTGCTCAACAAAATGGATGTTGTAAAGGACCTCGTAAAGGTATGTTAAAACGAGGATTAAAAGGTGGGGGGGCTGCTGGTTATAGTCTACTTCATTTGAAATCTCACTCGTTAAACCTGTAGTATAGCTGCTGCTGCATAGCTTTTCATTCTTTTCTCATTTACTTTGACTGTGCTCTTGGAGGCCGCAGAAGGAATAACATGAATAGCTGTGGAGACATGCCAGTATGACACGAACATTTGGCAAGAGAGGAAGTTTACAAATTTATATAGTTAGTTGAGAATAAACTATAAGATGGATGTTATTCATCTGAAAGTGTGAGGATTATCCAGTTACCTTTGGTATATCCTCATTCGCATAGTGGCTTTAAGAGTTCAGTGCAGTCTTGTCCAAGTCTTCATGACACTTTGTTGCTGTGAAAGCCAATGTCTCCTAGTTTGATATGGAGCTTATTTATCTTCCTTTCCAACCTGTTTCACTTTATCCCACTTCTAGGGCACATCCTGAATACATTTTGCCCCTTCCAGAGACCCATGAAAATGAAACCTTGCTAAAGGATGTAGATAATATTATGAAATTGGAGAGGTTGGATCTGCATATGCCTCTGCTGTGGGAGTAAAGTACTGAATGCATATAAACACAACTCTTTAGGTACAACAAATAGAGTATAGACCAATGTTCATCATTGCCTTTCTAGTATATCTGACATCCGACTCGGAGAGTGTCTTCTGTGATCAGACATTTAATAACGAGCCTTTAAGCTCAAATGACTTGATAGTGTTGTTTGAACACCGACTAAAAGTATTCCAGTAGTTACAGCCTAGAATGGGAGATACCTTTATGTACAACAAAAGGAACAGCATGCTTCTGATGACAACATATGCTTCCCAAATCCCTCTAACAGCCTTCCTGTAAGCAGCTTCTGGTGTTGACAGTTTTGTATAGGTTGCATTACTGTCTTTGTATCTAAGCTTACTTGAAGTAGCAGAAGCAGGAGCTATAAAAGGCATACCATTCACTTTCTGAATGTATCTGAAAGTTACCCGTAACCTTACGTTTGAGTCCCTGTTATCTGTTGCGTACAATAATAACCAGTGATGTAGGTGTATGCAAGCGTGATAGTTGAACTTAATTCCAGATATTCTTTGCGTTTGGACCTACTTAAAAGACATTTTGTATTGTAAAAACTCATTGTAACATTGGCATTCTGTCTCCTGAAAGAGCACGTTTTGGCTGTTGTGTTAGTTGCAAGCGTGCTGTATGTGTTCTCGAGTGAAATGATCTTTTTCCTCCTTAAATAAGCTGTGTTTTAAGGCCGGCACAGCTAACCAAACTGTAAACTTTACTGACTGACTGTTAAGCTCTCAGTTTAAGAAGTAACTGTGTCTGTCTTTGAACTTTTTATGTCAGGAGCTGTCAGATGAAATTGAAGACTACACCCATCGTTTCAATACTGAGGATCAGGTAGAATGGAACCTGGTTCTTCAGGAAGTCGCAGCTTTTATTGAGGTGAGAATATTATTTCCTTTTAATTGTCAATTTACAAGTAAAATTTTCTGACTTCTTCACCAAAGTGTTCCTGTACCACCACCTCTGTGTGGCAAGCAGGTGTGCTATGTGCTGGGACAGTATTCCTGTCCAACTTAATCATTGAAATGTGTTTACAGTAGTGTAGCAGTGACAGCTGTTAAAGTGCCTGAAGAGTCAGATCTGGTCATGTAACATAGTGAAGACAGAAGCATGGAGCTGAGACCCACTTGGTCGCCTTTTTGTTTTTGATCTTGGTGTTCAGAAAATGGTGGAATTGAAAGCACAGCAGTTATCATGGTCAGTATTTTGGAAAGTCTGCCCACTATAGTCCTGTTGTTGTGGAAGCCAATCCAATTTGCTGGTGTTTTGGTTGTGTTTCAGATTGTACTTTGATTGTTGGAATACTGGCCTATTACACTGGCAATGCCTGAGCAGTATGTAATGGAAAATACAGTGTAATCGTGACAATTAACTGACAGTGTCTCGTAGTATAGTTGTAACATGTCCGGCTTCTAAAGCTTGTTAAAAGGAAAATAGTTTTTTTTATTCCACCCAACAGTAGACAGTGTTCTGCTGTCCTCCTTTTGTACAGCATGTCACTGTGTAACATGAGCACTTATTTAAATATTGCTAGACTGGATGGTAGCATTATCATTGGCTCATCTCCTTTACTATTTGTTTCCAGGAAGGGAAGACAAACTAAAGAAAAGCAGCATTCTTCTGTACTGTCGGAATGTTTAGCTTATTCTGCGTGAACTATGAGATCATTGATATTTGGTTCCTCAGGTCTAGAAAAGCTAAAGTGGAGTTACGTCATTTGAGGGAGAATGTTCTTCTATCAGCTATACGTTCAATTGTTTGTACCACATATTTTCTTGTAGTCCCTAAGAGCTGCTGCTTTTCCAAGTGGAAAGGCATTATTCTGTGGCCTGCATACAAATATAGAAATATATGTCTGGCATATTAATTTTAAAAATCTGCCTCAGTTATGCAATGCTTGTTTTGACAAGACTTCTTTCTTCTCTCTAATTGTAAATCTGTATGTTTCTTGAATTCATTATTTATTTTGGTTGTCTTTCTAGGCAGACCCTGTAATGGTCTTAAATGATGACAACACCATTGTAATCACCTCCAACAGGCTTTCTGAAACAGGAGCTCCGTTGCTAGAGCAGGGAATGATAGTGGGACAGCTTGCTCTTGCAGATGCACTGATTATTGGGAACTGCAATAACCAGGTAAAGGAGATTGCAGGGACTTGGGTTTGTATCCTTGGAGTTCACAGTCCATCTCTCTGTGATAGAAATTAGAGATTCCAATAGAGATGAGCATTCAAATATTTCAGTAGTGATGTTTGCAGTGGCAGCAAGCAGAGAGTTTGTCAGAAATAAGGGAATGCTAAAAAAAAAAAAAAATTGTTATGCTTCTAGACCTGTGGCATTCGTTTCTTATTACGTATATCCACAATTAAGTAGGTGCAATTGATTTTCATGTAAGAGATGATTATTCTTAACAGCCCTCAAGCATGAGGGGCCTCTGGGGTGTGTCTAGAAAAAGCTTGACTTAGGCTTTCTTATGACATGTACTTCAGCTTATTGCAAAAGCAAGGGATTTAAAGAGATTCAAGAACTTAGTTTTTTTTAGATGATGATGATAGTGAGGTCATATGGACTTCCCGGCTTCTTTCTGAGCTCTTTTTTCAGGTAAGCAATGGCACTGTATCTAAACTGCAGCTTGTGTATCTTTCAGATTTTATCTAAATTCCTAGTACTTGGTGGGTTTCAGCACTTGATTTGTAGACACCTCAGAAAAGCCTGTCATCTGCTAAGCAGGGGTCTACGCTACAGTAAACCAGCCAGGCAGGCCAGTAAGAAATAGACTTTTGTCTTCTATGAGCTCTACTAGAAGTCATTTACAGGTCTTTAGAGATTCAATGACGACACTGACAGATCCCAGACAGACAGAAATCAGTCTCTCTGGGATGCAGTTGAATCTCTTACCTACATAAATTCCTGAGAAATAGACTGTTTAATGTGTTTCAGGCAGAATAAATAGTTGGACTCTTTTGCAGGTCAAGTTCAGTGAATTAACAATTGATATGTTCCGAATGCTACAAGCCCTTGAAAGGGAACCAATGAATTTAGCTTCACAAATGAACAAACCTGGAATGCAGGTGAGTTCCCTTTCAGCAACCAGCCTGGCAACAGGCCTGTATTGATTTATCGAGTGATCTTTCAGTACTGTCGCTGTGCAGAGCAGGTTAGGAAGGCTGATGTAACTCTTACTAGAAGTTAATGAAGGGTGGCTCATACCTGTACAGTTTGACCCAAGTAATGATTTTTTTTTTTCCATTTTAACTGGAACCTTCACTAGTGAAAACTTAGCAGAAGTGATTATTTGGGCATGTTTTCACAAACGGTTTAGATCAACCTAGCCTGGGCACTTATGAAGGAGTGCCATATCTGTCCTTGGCCATAAATACCCACCCTTTAGTTTGTGTTGACCCTAGCAGACGTGCAGCCAGATAAGTTCATCAGCTTGCCGATGCATCCAAAAACTAAATATCCCCTTCAGAGAAAACACAACAAATACACAGTTTTAATCTGTAGGCAAAAGGAAATAGCTAGATTTTCATCTACTTAATTGAATAGGGGAGTGGATTTTTTTGCTCTTTCCTTAGATTGTAGTTTAGAGAGTAAGAAATATTTGGGTAACATTAAATTGAGAGATAATATAAAGTTCTGGGGCAAATGCTTTTTATCTTGGTTTGCTGTGTAGCACGGAACGCTGCATGGGGAGACCACTACATGAGGGAGGTATGTTGAAGATGAACATTCTAATGAAAGCTGCTTTGGTAATATTAGGATTTTTTTTGTTTGTTTTTAACAGGAGTCAACAGAGAAACCAGCCAGGCGGGAAAACCCCCATAAATACCTACTTTATAAACCAACTTTTAGCCAGCTATATACTTTTTTAGCAGCATCGTTTAAGGTTTGTGATATTAGTGAATTTATTTATAATAGAAAAATATCCAGAATGGGACATGACACTGAATAAAATGTGGTTGAGATAGTCTTTCATGTTTCACGATAATGAAAGCTTTGCTGGCTTTTTTAAAAACGTAAAATAATCGCCAGAGAGGATGGAGATATTACAGATATGTGTAACTGATATAATAAAGGCAAATTTGTTGACTGCTGTTAAGGGAAAGGAAAACTTCTTGTTAAGACGAAAACCCAGCTTGCTGTTTATACAAAAGGTGTTATATCATTGCTAAAATACAGCCACCTGCAAAATGAAGACTGAACTACTCCTGTGGAAGCAGTCTTAGTATGAACTGTCTAGTATCAAGAGTAGAACATGGTAATAATATACAACTATTATATTACATAAGGCTTCCCATGTGATTTATCAAGTCATTGCATTTTTGTGCGTGTGTGTGTATCTATATATATATATGCACATGTGTGTGCACACTTGTGTATATATGCTGGAAATACAGAAAAGTCTTAAGACTATTCCTCTATTGCATATCGTGCCAAACACAATCCAAAATCAAGGAAGTATGCCAAGAATCTATTGTTCTTAAGCATTTCATGTACCTTCTATGCCTCTAATTCTATAACTCCTCTGAATTGCACATCTGTCTCCTGGATGTGCTGTTTTTCTGTCTGCCTGTCTTACTTTGTTAACCACTTCTGTTCCATGTAAACAACCTAAGCGTTTGTAGGCTTCAGTACATTTGCTGAGCTCAGTTTCATTTAATAAGGTTGTGGGGTCATTAGGCTTAATTTTGACTGTACAAATTGGCAACTTAGAATTTAGTAGCAAAATATGATTCCTATAAGGAAATAAGTTTCACAGCTGATAAGATGAAAATAATGCTCCCTTACCACTTAGAATTTTGGGTGCCTGTATGCTTAGCTTTCTGCAGAGATTAAAAGGATTTGTTTCCTCGTGAAGACAGCTAATAGAAAGATGGAAAATGAATTGCTTTTATAAGTCTATATAGGAACCTGGACATGTGTTATTTTCCAGCTGAGAAGTTTGAAGAGGCAGGGGGAAGAGGTAGGTGTTGCAGGCCATGGTGTATTTAGAAACAAAGAACTTACTCTAGGAACCTGGATCATTTGGGAGTTATGGTCTGCATGGATCTTGGCAGCTCTTGGTTTCCATTTCTTGGGAAGCCTCAGATCTGGCTAGGTCATAAGAGTCTGTGTGGAAACAAACATTGCTTTTCTACGACTGCTTGAACCTCTAATATCAACCTTTTAAAGATCTGTATGAAAAAATGTATTAGGATATCATCAGTTTGCATTTTTGTCTATGTGCTCACCTATTCAAAGGAGTATATGTGGTGGGGAGGGGTATATAAACAAAGAAAAGAATGAAGGGAAGTCAGAAGCAGGAATAGCACAAGCTTAAACGACAATGCTTTTATCAGGTTGATGATAGGCTATAAAAGTAAATATATACATTTCTTCCCTTGCTATTTTTCTCTTTACTTGAATTTCAGGAGCTGCCTGCAAACAGCGTACTGCTGATTTACTTGTCTGCCACGGGCGTGTTTCCCTCAGGTCGTTCGGATAGTGAAGGTACAATAAAGGAATGCTCCCTGTCATGAACAGGGCTTGAATTCTCTTTATGTTCCAGGACAAGTGACCAAGAAAGATGTCACAAAGCTCCTCTTAAAAGAAAAGTCAATTTTATTCTCCTGTCTACTTAGTAAGATAGCCTTTTCGTCGCACAAACAGTAGTTAATTCCCTATGTTTTAATCAGTGTGCATTAACGTGAAAGCTTTTCAAAGGACATATCTAGTTTTTGATGCATCAGAAGTATTAAAAGTTTCACCAATTTTGCAGACTACGTGGCTCAATTGTGCACAGTTAATAAAATGGTTAAATGACACTTTGTGGTTCTTTCCAGTCTCCAATACCAGGAGAATATATTGTCAGGAGAAGGGTGGAAAAAGGGCTGAAGAAGTGTCTGCAGGGGTTGTTCTATTTGCACGCATGTTGATGTGACAATTCAAGCCCTTCTCATGATTTTTGACAACTCCTCTCACCTCATCCTTCTGTTCTTTGCAACCTAGCAGAATATTTGGATGCAGCTGCAATCTAAAAGCTGAAAACTGGTTGGCTGAAGCAAAAGCAGTCAAAAGATCTGTTTACATTTAAATAATTAAAGGAAAAAAAATTTTTTAACATCCTAAATATTGTACATACCTCATCTGTTTAAGACTTGCATTCCTTTATAAGATGCATGCCTGGTCCCATCCCCATGCATGATTTATAGAGCTCTCAAAATGTTAAAGGAAAAAAAAAAAAAACCTGCCACCTTTGATTACGGCGGTGATTTTTTTTTAATGCTTTTAATATTTTACTTTGTGCTGCAGCTTGGTGGTACATTTTAGCTAAATTGTGTTCTTTAAAGCCTGCATTATACCCACTTTCACTGCATGTCTTCTTTTAGTTTAATACCTTACTGTAAAGGCATCCGGTCTCTGTCTTCTGATAAGCTGCATAGTCAACCTTCAGTTTTCATTAAATGAATGCCATTATAACTGCTTTCATAACGTAGTGTTGTCTGCAAAGAGCAAAATGTTCTGCCTTATTAAATGGGAGAGCAGCTACAGGCTACATTGTTGAGCTCTTATAAGCCATTTGTGTTTGACAGGTCACATGTGAGACATCAGTACCAAATTAATGTATGTTCTGTTCCTAATTCTGTATTCCCAAAGCTTCCCTTTAAAATGGAAGAATGTTTTATGTATCTGAACCTGAAAAAATCATATTTGATGGCAAAATATGATTCAACCAAATCTGCAAATGCATAACAGAATTAGGAAATCCTAATGCTGTAGTTTATTAATGTTAGTGAGGTTTCCTGGTATCTCTATTATTTTCTCTAGCACTTTTTTGTGTGTAAGTTTTGCTATTATAGCCATTACTTTCCTCTTTGTCCATCAAACAGTTAAGCAGGTAGTTCAGTTGTGTAGACTTAGCAGAATACGTCTTGAGCTTACCTTAGGAGCACACGTACAGGTTGTGTGTGCATTTAAAAATGGGAATTCTGTATCTGAAAACTGAAAAATTAACTTTTACTGCAGATCAGAAACCTGTTTAGGAATGTTTTATCCTTTCTAGGAGTACTGGAAGCATATTCTTCCTCTGAGCTTACTCTTCTCCTCTTTGGAGTATATGACTACTCTTTGCAGTGTTCTTACTGCAGGTGATAGTACTGTATTTATTCTGAGCAGCTTCAGGGTTTTAAATCAATTTAGCCTTAAATTTTTTGATGAATGGATTCTGTTTCTAGAATGTACTGGCTCATGTGGTAATCTAAGAAAGGTATCGATTTCGCTGTTTGAAACGCGTAGTGAATTTTTTCTTTTTGCTATATAGTGTGATGAGAGCCAACGTTTGGGTCTTTCGCGTTATATGTCCGCACTTTTGAAGAGTGAATAAATTAGAAGTTATGACGTTGTAGCGTTTTCTTCTACAGTCCGGTAGATGCTGAAACTACTAAAAATGCTTAAAATTAAGTAGATGGTTAGTAAACTGTAAGGTCTCCATATTCCTCCTTCCCTTCTCCAGAATGACAGTAGTTCAGATTCTCTTTATTTAGAGTGTTTCGGGTTGCTTTCTCCCTTTCATATCATCATTAAATCCATAGCTGAGCTGAGGTGACTCTGCTAATTTTAGCTCTCCTTTTGCCATGTATAGGTCCATATGACTTTGGAGGTGTTCTGACAAATAGTAACCGGGACATTATAAATGGGGATGCTATCCACAAGCGAAACCAATCTTACAAGGAAATGCACTGGTAAGTTTCATGAGCTTGATAACCACAAATTGAGAAGAATTTTTCTTTCATGGAGAAAAATGCATCACAGCGTCTTGAATTTACAAGGTAGGACATAAATGTAGGTTGGCTTGAGTTTGAAGAACTATAAGTGAGTGTGCAACTCTAAGACACAATTTGAACACTAGAAAAAAATTACGATATTTTAATGTAATTTCTCTGTCCCTGGAAAACTTCGAATTAATGATGGATGACTCTTCAATAAGATAAATGATCTCTTTTGGGGAAAGAACAAATAGGAAGTCAAATAGACCATAGTATAGCCCATATCAAAATGGGTTTGCAGTTATTTTCTGGGGATGAATCTGAGGATTGGGGCAAGGGGAATCTGCTTATTTTTTATCTAGATATGGGCAGCTGTGCGTCTAGGAAACTTGTGCCTTGTCACAACTTCACAGAAATTCTAGTGCTCTGTGAAGCGTCTCTTTCTCTTTTCAGTCTTCACCCTGGTGATCTCTACCCTTTCACAAGAAAGCCTTTGTTTATCATTGTGGACTCTTCAAACAGTGTTGCCTATAAGGTAAGGCTCTTGAATGCAACTGCATGTATGATAGGATACAGTGCCAACCCCTAGTTAGTTTACACTTTTAACAGGTTATTTTTTTTAAACACTTTGTATTCAGTCTTTCTTTTCTTTTGAGGTTGTGCATGCTAGTCAGGATCTGATCCTATGAATAGGAACAAGAAGGAGAAGCACATGAACAGCCGCTCATTGGAAAGTAATAAATCCTCCTGGAGGGAAAAAAGGTTCAAGATTTCCAAGATCTCTGGTGGGAGGTTTATTTTTGTTATATACCAAAGACAAATCTTGGTGTGTGTGCATGGGGGAGGGAGATAATCTAATCTGCTCTTTTTTATTCCTCCAGTCATCCAGCACTCAGTTGCTTTTAAGCAACAGGAAGGAGTCAAAGCATTGAGCCTGATCTTGTAAATAAGGGGTGTCTGTTTTTGAAAAAATGTCTGAACCAAGGAAATAACAAGACTCAGAAATTAGCACCCAATGTTACTGTAGAATGGTGTGTGCAGGGACAATGAGCCTCCTTCTGGGGTGCTATGGACTTAAAATAGAATTATTCCATGTCAAATCACCATTGGGAATCTGCATTTCGGGTAATACAGAAGCAGGCATTTTTAATTTCAGTCACCAGTTGCATCTGGATGGCATGATGACATTTATTTCATTGCTGAATGGGATGTTAAGAATGTACTATATCTGGGGAAACGGTCACTTCCTTATGTCTTCCTTTTTATAGCTCCATTATTTGCAGTGAGGAAAGTGAACATTCACAGCTGCATTTCTGAGGAAGAATAGGGACGTCTAGTGGCCAGATGAACTTGCTCTTTGTTCAGTATCCACAGTCTGTGTCATTCCTCTTAAAGGCATATGTTGGCCAATAAGAGTTAGGATATCAGTGATCAGAGTGATTTCTGTACTGAGCCAAGGACTCAACAGTCTTTAAAACGATATGGCATTTCCGCAGGGTTTTTCTTTAATGTTTTGAAAGGCATTTCAAAGGCTTTTTAAACAATACTGAATTCAACTTCACCACATCAGATTTCAGTACCAATCTATTTTTTATTACATATAAATTCCCTTCCTCATTTAAAGAGATGAAGATGCAATGGTTTTGTTTCGGGAGGGCAGAAGGTCCTGGGTTTGGTTCCCCCCACCTTCCTCTCTAATATAATTCCAGTGGATCTGCTCTGGAAAAGAGAGTAAGGGATTTTTTGGAGACCCTTAATTCATATATGGCTCTGGACACAGCAGGGTTCTATGGGCAGCTTAGAGCAAAGGATCTCTAATGGATTCCCACATGTAGACTTTGTAGTTCCTGTGAGAATAACTGTCAGTGTTTTCAGTAGAATCATGCTATTTGTATTATATTTAAATGGGATAATTGTATTCTCTTTAGATTGCAGAATAACTTTTGCACAGTAAACAAAAAATCTAATCTCCATTTAGTTTCTTTTCCATGTTCTGCAGTGAACTGACCATCACTAGTGTGAAATATCCCAGTGCGCTGTCTGTTAGGCACACAGAGCAGCTGTCACGAGAAGTCCCATCTCTGCCTGCATGTAAGGAATATAGAAGTGTAAGGTTTTGAAGTATTTTAGGGCAGGATTAACAAGATGGCTGCTAAGAAACCTAACCCAGATCGGAATCGTATGGGCACAATTGTGGGGAATCTAGGGAGAGAATGCAAAAAATTGAGCATCGACCCCTATTAAAAAAAAAAAAAGTATAATCAGTGTTTGAAAACTCACATTCACCTTCACAATCTATTACCATTGCACGTAGGCAAACAGATGTGTGCAAGTGGGGTTTTGTTTTGTTTTGTTTTGTTTTTTTCTTTCAGCTGAAGGCAAATGACAGAATTCTCAGTCTCATTATTTTCTAGCCATTGTAGGTTCCTGTCTGTCACTGTTTTGTATGTGCTTGGTTCCTTGTAGCCAGAATGCATTTATAGGTCTGTCCTGCAATGTGTTACGAGATGCTTTGTGGACTCAATCACTGGGACCAAGAGGTTCTGTGCAATTGTGTGAAAAGTTGAAGCCAGCATACTGACTTTTTTCCACACAGCTGCTCTGAGCTTTTCTGATAGGACAGTAGCTATTCTGACATTTAAATGTCACTGCTAGCAATGCTGGCAGTAACAGCAGCTCTTCACGTGTCGTCTTCTAAAAGCTGTTTCGCTCTCCTGCACGCGTTCTTGTCCCCTCTGTCTTTCTGGAGGGTTTAAATGGTGATGACTGAAAGAGAGTCCTGCCAGGAAGTGACTTGCCAGTTTGTCAAATCAGCTGCACTTACCTGAACAGCTTCCTCCCCTGTATTTTTAGTTAAAACGGGAAGATAACTGCAAATTGAGCATATCTACTTAAGCCTTGAATTTTTTTGGAAAACCTCAACTTAAATGTAGATGGCTATGTTTGTGAAAGTTACCACTGTATAGGTAAATGAAATAATGTTTTAAATCGGTATCTTCTAGTGGCTGTAGTTGTCAAAGATTATGGTCAAAGTCTTAAAAGCATTGCTCTAGCAAGTAAGAATGCAAGGCCTTTGTCTGTGGCGTGGTATAAATGCTCAGCTTAGTAAAACTTACTTGCAAATTGACCTCTCTTGGAGATGATGGGTAGTTCTATTTTGGAAAGAGGTGTGTGGGGGGTCATATTTTTAAAAAGCAGCACTGTTTGTGTTGGAAAAGTTGAATACTGAAGTCAAAAACGAGTTTGTTTTGAACCAGAATTTTTTCTTTACCATTTTTGGTACTGTCCATACACCGAAGGGCAGCATCTTCCTTATCCAGAGCTGTCAGCAACATCTGGACTGCAGGGCAGTTTTTTCTGGAGCACCTTGTGGTCCTCCTCTCCAAATCATTTGTACTGCAAACCTGGCTGTAATATGCTCTTGTTCCTTTGGTGCAGGTATGCCTACGATTCTTTTCTATGGAAATCAGGAAATGAGGTGGTGGTGGGTGAATCCTGGGCTTTGGTAGCAAGTTTTGTCAGGGTCAGGGACAGAGCTAGCACAGAGACCTGGAAGCTGAGTGTCTTATACTCCTGGATCTGTAGTTTAGATGCAACACTGGCACCAGCAGCTCTCTTCCAAAGCGTGAGCTTTGTGTTAGTTATGGTAAACCATGTAGTTTCTCCTCTTTGCAGGACTTACTGGCTATGTTGACTTCATCTCTGCTGGGACATTTAGGGTCCAAAATGATCTCAGATACTGTCCATCGATTAACATCTTTCATGAAATATACAAATGATCCTTACTTTTCTTTTATAGTAGTCAATGTTTAATAACATTATTACATTTAGTGATGGAGTGTATGGAATATCTGCTTTGGTCTCTAACCGGCTGGTAACAGATTTAATGCAATTTGTGAATCTATTCATGAATACTGAACATACACGTGATTTGAGAACGTACACTCTGTCAGCGTCAGCAGCACTAAGTTCATTCATGCAAACTAGCAATGGCTGCAGTGATGCCTGGAGTTTTAAATGTTTCTTTAAAGTTCAATATTACAAATTACTGGGTTGGCTTGCAGTTACTGTATTCATGATAATATTTATTTCTTCATTAGAGACCAGACTTTAATATGTAGCATTATAAAACTCCCTTAGGCTCTTCATGAGACAGAGGACTTTTCAGGAGTAGCCAGTATTTTGTCAGATATGGGAAATGTTTTGTTTTGACTCGACTGTTGTCTTTAGTATTAGCAGACTTGGATGAAATTATTTCAGTGAAAATAATTTTAATTGAAACACATTGCCCAGAAGGGAAAGTTCCATTTGAATTAAACAGAAGCCAGAGGAATTCAATAACAAGCTTTTTTGATGATTCTACACAAGCAAATAGTTTCTTATGATTTATACCTAACATTCATAACCTTCCAGTTTTAGAAATATGATTATGATTTGCACACATTTGTGTTGCACTCACCTGGCTCTGGATGCATGATATGCATGCGCTTTCTGATAGGATGCAGACATAAGTTTGTTTTCTATGGCTCTGAAAGCCTTCAGTTTTAAGAAAGCTATTGCTCATAAGATATTTAACAGGGGGTTTAGGGAAGTTGTTTGTTTAAATGAAAACAATCATGGCAATCATTATTATTGTAAGGATTAGTTAGATATGCAGTAGGACTGTTCCAAGTAAATGTTGGTGATACCGGACAAAGGCTTTTTTGAGGCTTCTGGAGGAAATCTTGTGCAACTTAGCACCTGTGCAATATTTAAGTGGAAGGTTGATGAAGCAGGTATTGTAAAATGGGGATTCAGTGTAGCAGATGTTAATGTTATGACATACTTGTTTTAAAAGGGAACTATTTTAAAGCTTTTCAACTGAGCTCTCCTGTTTCATCAGAAGGAGCTCTACTGCTAGAAATAGAAGGAGAAAGAAATCACTTTGACCGGATAGTTCAGGTGGTATCAAGGAAAGAAGATAGATTGATTTCCCCCTCCCCCCCATAGCCAATGGCTTTCATTTTTATTGCAGAACTTGAGTGGGGATTTGTTATTTGTTTGGGTTTTTTAGTAATGTGTTACTACTGAAAGCTGTTTTTCCATTAAATTAGCATCTGCTATCACTGGCTGTTAGATTTGTGAAACGAGAGAATTTAAATTCCTTTAAAATGTAATAGGTTATGTTGCTTCTTGTGGGCTGTGATGTATGAGTAAGTCAACTCATCAGCCTTTGCTGTCTAAGCTTAACTGTGTGACAGGCATTAGCACATACTGTATCTTGAATAGTCTTTGTTTTATACCCCTAACTTGTTGAATTTTCACAAGCAAGCAAAGTGACCATCAATACTTCAAAATTCTTATCTGTTACAGAACTTCACAAACCTATTTGGACAGCCATTGGTGTGCTTGCTTTCTCCAACAGCATATCCAAAAGCGTTACAAGGTATGTCAAGTATTGCATTTCCTAACAGTTTGCAGTTGCAGCATTTATCTATCATTTTGCCAAACAAATATAACAGGTTCTTCAGGAGAAGACAGCTTTTTATTATTTTATTATTCCTGAAGTAGCATGATAAAGTTTACTTACAGTTCATGGCAAATAACTTTTTCTAACCGTTATGATATTTGTACAGTTTCATCAAGTGCTAGTAGACAAATTCTCTTCTACACTGAGACTCAAAAAATTGCCAGCCCAGTGGTGGGATTCTAATGTGTTTTTTCTCTTAATAGCACCTGGGGTAGCTTTATTAGTTCCAGAAGGTCAGCATGGTTATATTATCCATTCAGTTAAGGTATCAGCTTTTAAAGGCCAAGTGTAAAGCAAAATCCTCTCCTGATCTGGTTCTGGTTTTGGAGGGTAAGTTAAGGAAGCCTGTTGGATTTGTATCCCCTGAGAAACTGGGTTTATAGTAGAAACAGGCAATGAAAATTATATTCTTCAGTTCTTGTGACTACTGTAAAATATAATTCCAGATTTTCTCCTTGGAATTTGCCATGTTAAGGTTACTTTTCATCACAAAATCAAGTATGAAGATCTAGCTTAAGCCATATGGAGTGGTATTAGGCATGTATCATGAGAGACTGTGTGAGAAATTGAAACTTAAGTAGAAAATAAGTATTGTTACAATGAATCCTGTTTAAATAGAAACTTTGAAAAATAGAGCTTAATTCTTTACAAAATACTGGATGCTTATATCATGCTGAGTGACCAGTCACAGAAGTCTGATGTAGCTCTGAGGTTGTGCTACACTGTGCACTGGAGCCCTGTGCAGAGACGACTTAGCTGAACTTAACTAGGCCCCTGTGTCAGGACAGCGTTATATCATGCAGGACTGTGTGCTTGCATCCTGAAAGACGAGGGGTTGCACCGAAGCACTACCAATGTCAAGTTAGTAAGCCGTGCTGAGGAGGAAGTGGCCTTACTGTTTGGGTACACGACCTCATGTGCATTACTTTTTTCTTTTGATATACCAGTTTATTGAGGTGAAGCCTGAATCTTTGCCTATCATGTTGAACTACACGGAATAAATGTGCTTTAGGACATTGTGATGCTGTCCAACAAAAGGACAACTCTGTAGACTTTGCGGGGGTTATATAGGTCCAGCTGCTTGATCCTTTAGTGCTAATCACATGCATCACCTTGAGAACAGATCTACCACAAGAGGGGAGAAGATATAACACAGCCAAACTAGTAGCATTGCTGTTACAGAGTATAGTGGGTGAGGGACCTCATTCTGTAGCCAGGACAGCTTTTCTGTTTCATGTGCCAAACGTGTATCTCTGTTTATTGATTTTTTTAGATCAGTCTCAGCGGGGTAGCCTCTTCACACTATTTCTGAACAATCCTTTAATGGCATTCCTATTTGTCTCTGGATTATCAAGCATGCGCAGAGGATTGTGGGAGAAGTGTCAAGATTACCTTAGAAAAATCAACCGAGATATTGCCCAGCTGCTGACCCACTCACGTTCCATAGGTATGTACCTAAAGATGTACAACTGAAGCTTAGTATGCTACTTAAGCCGACACCTTGTTATTGCTCAGGCTTTCCAAGGGACAGAATAGTGAATAAGGGGAATGCACAAGTATGCATGGTGGTTTCCCCCAGGGTCCTTTTTGTTTTTAAAGCCTTTCTGAACTGAGTTTTCTTTGTTCGCTTCTCTGCAGATCAGTCCTTTCTTCAGTTTTTTGGGGATGAATTTCTTCGCTTGCTTCTAACAAGATTTATCTTCTGTTCGGCTACTATGAGGATGCACAAAATTTTCCGGGTATGCAGGGAAATCTGTCTCTTTGTGAGAACAATCCAGTGCAGATAGAACTGCACTGCCTCAGAATGGAAGGGTCTTACGGCTACGGATATCACTGTGACTTGCGAAAGATAGCTGATATTCACATGCTAATGCCTACAGCTTGTATTGTGTCTATCTCCTTGTTATTATAGAGCATGAAGCCTTTGACTTGCTTCAGCCTTATTCCACCACACAAGTAGTAGGCACATTCTAACATTAGCATATTCATTTATGTCACTCTGAATAGTCTTTTCTGCTAGAAATAATCTTGAGTTATCAAGAAGAATATTGTTTCTATATAACTAAAAAAAGTGGGGATCGAGACTATAAGAGGAAGTGGAGAGGAGGGAAACTCTATCTCTGGGATGTATTCTAGGGTGAGTAAATTTTGAAAGGCCTTTGAAGTGTAAATGAATAAGCTGAACAGAAAGACGGTATTTCCCCTCCCTGCTGGTTAACACTGCTAGCAGTGAAGTCTGCTTCTGGATCTACATCATTTTACACTTGCGAGTGTTGGCGTATAAATTGTGTGCTCCACTTTACATGTTACAGAAAAACTGAAAGTAGAAGCACAGAAAGATGCAGTAGAACTGATCTTGCCTAACTGCAGACATCTATTAGTTTTCCAAGCCTAAGTTAGCTACTCAGGCTTCCTTGATAGCAGGGAAAAAAGTAGATCTTTTGTGAGTGGGGATGGATTTGCCCCCAGTGTCTTAGATATCTGTTTTAGGATGAGATGAATCTCCCACTGGAGATGCTTACATGTCTACAATTTCAAGAAATGAACTCCAGCCTAAATCGGTAGTAGGTAAGTATGTGTAAAGTTTTTTTTTTTCTTTTTGGTAAGGCTTCTGTGAATATAGAATTAAAAGCAAATGTACTTAATCAGCTTAGAGGAGAATGTACTTAATCAGCTTAGAGGAGTGAACGTTTGTATTGCCATTATGACTGTCTTTGAGTCAATAGAAAAAGAAAACTGAACATGACTTTTTTTTCTGCTAGGATCTTTTCATTCCATGTGGCATGTTAAAGAAATTAAGATACTTCTTAGGTGAAACTGGCCTTTTGCAATCTTCTAAAAGGTTATAAAAATAAATGAATGTCTGATTCTCTCTGTTTTCACTGTTGTCTAGCAGGAAACTCGCAATTATCCAGAATCTTATCCTCAGCTGCCAAGAGATGAAACTGTGGAGAACCCTCACCTCCAAAAGCACATTTTGGAGCTGGCTTCCATACTGGATGTTAGAAATGTTTTCCTGGAAAACACCCTCGACGACTATTAGAAGAGACTGTCTTACTGCAAAGCGGTTTCCCTGGTCACAGATTTTGAATGGTGCAGTTTTTTAATGTGAAAATCATAAAAGGAAGTACTTGATTTTATTTTTAAATTTAGGACCATAATTTTAAAAAACAATAATAAACAGCTGTTAGTTTAGCTGTTCCATTCTGTATGGGGTCACTTTTATAAGCGAAACTTTTCATGTCTTTTAAATGTTAAACTAAAGAATCACTAGAGTTTTATTTCTGGTCTTGTGGCTGCTATCAACCACATTTCCAACAGCTGATCCTAAGCATAGAAGTACTATTGGTTACCTTTAGCCCATGTTTGTGGAAATCCTTTATTTTTATACAATTTTAAAAAATTGGAAAAAATCAATAGAAAAACAATATTTTTTTCCCCAAAGACTCTGGATTTGAAATGGTAAAGATGGAACCACACAGTGCAAACCAACAATAGCAATAAAACAGAGTCCTTCATAACAAATATATTTTTTCAGTCTTAGGCAAGTAAGTAGACAAAACTGAGGTAGATTAAGCTGCATTTGGAGCAGTGGGTTTGACATGAAGTCGTAAAGAGCTTTAATGCTCCCTATAAATTTGTCACACCAATTCTATATACAAACTTTGTACTGCTGGCCAAGGACAATTTCCACTCTACCTGCTTGGGTGGATGGCTAGCAGACTGATGAATTACAAGACCAAGAGATTTGGCTCCCCTTTCTCACCATAACATGGGTCATTGTGCCATTTGTATTGCTGCTGCAATTTTCCAGGAGGAGAGGGCGTTCTTCATTTTGAGCTAATAGATAGAAATTCTTAAATCTCCACCAGGTGTAATCTGTCCTTTCCTTGTGTAAATGAAACGTGTGGCTCCTCCAGTGTTATCAATTCCTGACAAGAGTTGAAAGTGTGTCCCATAAAGTGCTGAATATCAGCCCTTCCTATCACCCATTTATCTAACTAATCTGTGTTGGATCCCTGTGCCCTAGCAGACATGCTGGTGCTCCTCTTGGAGGTTAGGGAAAAAAAAAAAAAAGTTGTGCTGCCACAAAGCCCCGTTAATGTTGTGAGTGCTCATTGTTGCATCTCAGTCATTTTTTCGAGCCAGTAAAACTGAGGGGCTGTAATACTGTTTGGCAGTGCTGTAGGCTCTCTCAGCCCAAAATGCTCAGTCTAGGTGGGTTAAGGAGTACTGTGACCTTTGTAAAGGCACTTGCTGGAGAAGGCTATTTTGAGTGTGGGGAGAAAAAGTGCTTGCTGACTCTTTTGGACTGTACCTCCTTCCTTGCAGAACTAGAGGAACTCTTGCAACTCCTGACAGTGAAGCCTGAGGGAGGAAAGAAAATGAAAATGTTCTAAACTATTCTAAACTAGAAAATTCTAAACTAGAAAAAGTTTGTTTTCACTGTTTCTGTGCTGAAAAGGAAGTGAAAAGACAAGTCTGATCAGTGCTTTAAAGTTGCAACCCAGTCATGCCTCTAATGTCAGGTGGAAAAAAAATTGCAAAATGTTGGGACTATCACAGCAGGCATGTTTGCAAAGCTGTAATACAACGGTATGATCAACTCAGAAGCTGGAATAGTGAAGGACTAGAAATCGGCACTGATGGACCCTCATTCAGCAGGGCGTAGTACAGAACAGCAGGATTTGCCACAGTATAAATGGGAAGTTTGTGTGAAGGTTCTCTGTATCTTGGGCTGTAGCTTCAGCTTAAGCTCTCCATTCTTTAATTTCCCAAGTGTAAAAAATTCAATGAATGCTAGCATTTTTCTCTGAGCAGTGTTGAAGCTGGTATGTTGGGCCCCTCACCACTTGGTGCTGCTCTTCTTTGGACTATAGCAGGACTGGGATGTGGAGTTTATTTTAAAGAGTGTGTGTTTGTGTGTGTATGTGTATTCTAGGCGTTTGTGTGTATATGTACAATACACATACATCTACTTGCTAGTGTAAATTGTAAATATGTATATATGTATAGGTACTTGTATATGTATTAAAAAGTATGAAACAGTACAATGTCTTTATATACAACATTTATATATACACACATACGCCATTTTGGGTGCATTCCACAAGGTGTTCCAGATCCTTTGTGGTTGTAGTAAAGGTTATGGCTCTTCTACCATTATAATTCTGTTTTCAGGGACTTGCACTTAGTCCTTGAAGTAATTCAGAACTGCAATCGGGTACAGGAAGCCTTAGCTAGGGGTTATGAGTACTCCTATGTATGTGACAGTGATTAGATTCATGGATTCTTAATGGTGAAGCTGATGATCTGCCTTTCCTTCTGGTAGGAGGTCCCCAGTTATTAAAACGTGGGATCATACGTGGAAGCTAAAGATACTGAAAGCCTTTAAAGCAGCAGCAAGTGAGAGTCACAGATTATCGTATCTGCTACCCTCCCTGCTGTTCCTCCACCAGCAGTGTTTAATGTGCATGGAAGAGGGGAACTTATTTTTCCCCAGCTCACTGCCTTCCAATCAGATGCTTTTGTTCTGCTTTAGCTTTTGCTTTGATGAAGCTATTCTCAGTTTGGTTCCATGCATCTGGAAAATAGTGTGCTATTTTGAAGCACAGGAGCAAAGAAAAAAAAAGCTGAACCTCTGTGAAATATTGCCTTCTAGCTGACTGGGAAAGCCTTGGCAGACGCTAGATCGTGTTTTAGCTGGGCTGAGACGAGGAGTTCTTGCTTGCGATCTGCAAGGCCTCTAAGCCACTATGCAGCCCTGAGAAGAGGTTCTGTTTGCTTGTTACCTAGGTAGATCTAATCAGAGGAGAATGCGCTTAAAAAAAAAAGTGACTAAAGAAGCTAGAATGTAGGAGAATATGTGGCTTTGAAAATTAGTTCAGAAGCTAAACACATCAGCTTTGTCTGTTCAGGTCAAAAATTCATTCTTGAGGTCCCACATTCTCTTCTCACCTAGTGACCTTTGGTTCAAAAGGTATGCTGCTGATAGGAATATTCAAAGATAAAGATTTTACTCCTGTTGTGTCAGTAGGAGTAAGAAATTGTACTTTATAAGAAAAAGGCTGATACCTTCTGTCTGCTCTAGCTGTAGATAAGATGAGTATTTGGTCTTGGACTTTGAGCCAGACACCCCCCCCCCCCCAAAAAAAAAAAAAAGCAGCTAGCTGCATTCAAGATAAAAACACTGATCTTTTCCCTCCAAGTAAAAGCTTGTCTTGTTTGAATTTACTAAGTCATTCTAAATTTGTGCTACTGTGTACTGTGTGCTATGGTTGTAGGTACCTTCTCTATGTATACTTGTATGTACTGAAGAAAAATTTGGTATATATATCTAGCAGATCTCGCTATAGGGAAGCAAAGGCTGAACAATTTCAAGTGAGGAGAGAACAGATCCTTTTCTTCTCAGGCCTAATGCCTTCTCTCTTGTATCCCTCTCCCTTTCTCCATATATCCTTATTGCTTATGTTAGTGGAGAAGACTTGCTACCATTAGGCAATACTGAATTAAAAGGGTAAATTCTGTATGTAATATCTAAAGAGAGGAAAAGGTGAACTTGATTGAATGTCTCCTTATTGGACTTCTCCTGCCTAGCCCCCTAATTTACTGCATGTGATATGTTTGAATTAACTGTACTTCCACGGTAGGCATCTCTATTTGTACTCCTCTGTTCAAATTGGCTTTAGAACATCTAGCCAAAGTCAGTGCTGTTGCCTTCCCTCACCCACCCCCTTGACTTCTCAAAATAACAGTGAGGGGGAAAATAGGGCCATGAATTTTTAGAGCTCTGTTTTTACTCTTTGGACGCTGTCATTTTGCTCTGTGGCAACAAAAATGGAGCACTAACTTCTGTGAGCTGTGCAAAGTGGAGTTGCTCCCTGGAGTGCTTTCGTGAGAAGTTTCAGGAGAGTTTGTTTGGGTAGTTTGTCAAAATAATATCCATCAGGTCATGATGTATTAAAACCCTTAATATTCTACAGGGAGCAGTGTGGAGATGTCTTTCTAAGGATCACTGAGGGTAGATGGGGACAGGAAGTTAGGCTTCAAATAATCGTCTTCAAAAGCTACAAGTTCAGTAGCGCTGGTCAGGCTTCTTGTCTAAGGATGGGATGAAAGTACAGCTCCAAGATTCATCCACAGGCATGCCGTTTTGAATTACCCCCCGCCCCGCTTCTTCCGTGTAGTATGACTCCGTGCTATGCTTGGTCTGTTTTTTCCCAAAAGCTTTTAGCTTGGGATCTCTCTCAGCAACATTTTGGCCTTGACACTTCTTTTGTAAAGCTTCATCTATGTTAGCTTCTTCAGTAAATGTTTTTACAGGTCACTAATGATAGCAGTGGCAGATGTTTAGTCCTGTCCATCCTATGTTAAGTGGCTGCTTCGGTGTTGGTAGCTGTTGGTAGTTGCTCCTGTAGCTGAGGGAGCTCCATGGACAGTAACAGCAAGAGTAATCTCACAAGGGAAAAAGTCCAACACATGCAGCTGAAAGCTGTTCTGTGCAACTCAATAATGTCAGATTAAGCTGCACCGTCAACCTCTGAGAGGGATACTGGTGCAGAAGACAGGGCAAAACTGTCCAGAGTAGATGACTTGCATATTCTTGACATGGCTCTCTTACATTGCTGAGTATCTCTGACTTCTAGAGCGATTTGGCTTGTGGGACCAAATCTATTTCAAAGATTGTGAAAGTCTGGATGTTTACAAATAGAGCAGAGGAGGAAGCATCGGACAAATACTTCTGGTTTATATTTAGGAGTGAAAGTAAAGCTACTTCTTCTGAGACAGACCCCACTTTCTCATCACTTTTCCTCTAAACCATTGCTCTGCCAAGACAGAGGAGGAGATCTAGTTGAGGATTTCTGAATTTGTGAGCTCTTTCAGAAGACCAGGGAATAACTCTGCATCCCCATTGACGTACCCTTATTACTGGGCCTGCTGCCCTGATGTGTGCATAGATGTTTTGCTCTTACAGATCCTGCTTTCACATTGAGAGCAGACTTTACTATTTACTCGGCCAAAGGAGCGCCTTGAGAGATTTTTAGACCTTATTGGATCTTATATCAGTAATTATTCCTTCAAAAAAAGCCTGTGTTGAGTATCTGCCCTACTGACTTTGCAGATTTCTTCTGCCATCTGTTTATTACCACTTATCAGTTGTAACTCATTTTTAGGAGCAGGATTCTGCCTCATGCATTTGAAAAGCACAAGGTGCTTATGCCCTGGCCTGCAGCTCACCAAGAAGTACAAGAAAAATAGATGGGAGAGGGAGGGGACATTCTGGAAATACAGAAAGATGAACTATGTCTCAGACAGTCCATCTACCAAGGGTTAAAGGAGTGTTTTGCCTCTCTGAGTATCAGATTATTTATTACCAAAAGTAATTTTATAGTGGATTGGTTTAAAGTTATTTTACAGCCATGTGCATTTATTTCATATTTTGCTAAAAAAAAAAAATATTTTACTTAAAATATATAGAGATATATAAATAAACTTTTTGGAGTAAATAGACTTTTTTTTTTTTTGCAAGGGATCTATGAATTGCCAAAGCAATGCACTACCAGAGAATATTCTGCCATTGGTTTTGGTGTCTTTGGGAGGAAAGAAGTATGTTTGTATTACTGCTGAAAATTTCAGGGAAGAGTTAAAAGCTACGCTTACAAGTGAGAAGTGATGTTACTCCTCCACTTCAGAAATAAAGACCTTAGTTTCCACGTCGGTTTGTACCGGTAACTAAAACCGAAACGCAAGGCCTGCTTACTGCTGCCACGACCAAGGTTAAAGCCTTTTCCCGCGCCGCTCCG